GTTTACACAATAAGTAGTTGGAAAAATATCTGCGCATCTTCAATGCAATATAATAATTTATTGCATTTTTCCAGCAGCTTATTGTGTGAACAATATTTTTTTTTATTCAAATTGAACCAGTAAATACAATATACCGTGGACCTCCGGTAATCTGACCGTTTTTAATGTGAACACTTTTTGTTTGAATCCCTCTAACCTGCAAACTAAAAATTGCTCAAACGTCAAGGGGCCCTACACGATTATTTTTATTGACAATAATCGTATTGTCAATACAGTCTATATTGACATGAATACATCGATATTGATATTATTTCTGAATTCACATTATCAATATTATTGGAAATAATTCCCCTTCGTGTCAATATAATGATACGTGAGGGTTCGCTCTATTTAGCACACGGAATGGAGTAAAGTGAAATGAAACGATCCGAAACGGAACCCAGAATCAAAACAAACCAACAAATAAGGCTACCAGAAACTCACTTAACTGATGGTCATAGGGTTACTAGGAGTTCAAATAAAAATGAAACCCGTTAATATGCATAGAGTCGTAGTTCAGATAGATCCACGGTATTTGTCTTTTTTGACACCAAAAATACAATGGCAAGTTCAAAATTAACCACTTCACTCGAGCAATTAAAATGACGTTTGCTACCACTCGAACTTAAGCCGCCGCCGGTGGTGTAGTGGTAAGCGTGACTGCTTTCTCACCCCAATGCGTCTCGGTTCAATCCCAGCCGAGGTCGGTGGGATTTTTCGGAGGCATAAAAATCTCTTGTCACGTTTTCCTTCGGAAGGGAAATAAAGCCGTTGCTTCAGGCCCATCCCAACTAACAATTTTGACAATGTAAACGCTTTGCTCATTTCATTTATACAGCCACTTGCTGTATTCAAACGTTATACGATATGAGAAAACCTTTACTCAAACTCTATAACGGGTGTTCAATAAAAAATTAGATTTTTTTCAGTCATATAGCCAGTAAAAAAAAAATTTCAACGATTTCCGTATTTTTTATTAAAAACATAATGTTTATTGGTGGGCGTTGGCCAAATTTGGATTTTTCAGATATAATCCTAAATAGGACCTAGATTATTTAATACTCTAGTAACCTCAAGTCCGTGCTCTGTCACAATGTTTCATTGTGATTAATCAACACTCAAAGGGGTAAAATATCAAATTTGGGGTGAATTTGAAAGAAAGGGAACTTGGAGTGTAGAGCGCACTGCCCACTGGACGATTCTGAAGACTGGCCAAGTGAGTGGGGTATGGGTTTATTTGATTGAACGTCATTTCCAATGTATATATTGATACATTCAAACCATTGGCATTTGAGATAAGACAGAGATAGGATGCGGAGGGCCCGCTTAGGAGGAGCGTAACCCATGTTATGGTTTCCATTTATTAAATAGTTCAGATAGACTGGAAATGACAGGTTCATAGTGAGAAAATGTACCATATGGGGCCCGTTCACTGATCAAAATCAGATTCACATCGTCAGACCCTGCCCAAGAATAAGGGGATTGACGATGTCTTGTCAAGTTTTATTTTAAATTTGCGTTTTGCATTTAATACTCTAGTAAATCTCGCGTCCGTGCTCATTCACAACAGTGTGAGGTGTCAATACTCACTGGGTCATATGTCTTAGACCAGTTCCAGATTAGTTTGCTATTAATATCTTCTGCATCGCAGTTCGCGATAGATTACTAAATATGGGTTGTCTTTTTCGACCATAATAGTGTGAGGGAAGGGGGTGAATTCTGGATCAACAATGGAGGGGGGCCCATCGGCATTTGTGGGCAAACCGTCCAAAGCCCATTCCTCACAGATCGGGGGCTGCTCACGCAGACCAACACCATCTTCGTGTAGGTGGAAGTTTCCCCTATCCGATGATGGTGTTGGTTTGCGTGGGTGGCCTTCGCTTTGTGAGTGGGGGGCTTTGGAGCGGTTTGTTTACAAATGCTGATGGGCCCTTTTCTATTGTTGATCCAGAGTTAAACGTTGCGATATGAGAGCGAATAGAGGCAAATAAATAGGGAAGACAACACCATGACCCAAATAAGTAACCAATGCATGCGGCTCACACTTAACTTGTTCTATTTCTTTCTTTCTTCCTATCATGTACTAATATTAACTGCCTGAGGACAAATGGGAACACGACCAGAAGATCAATAGGAGAAAAAGAAAATTCGAACAAGAAAAGAAGAATTAAACTTGCACCGGCAAGAGGAAGCAGACAGAAAGGATCATGCCGGTTGGAGACAGCCAATGTATACTGGACGAAGCTTGTATCTAGGAAAAGTCGTATGTGCAGGAAACCGTAAGTAGGATAAGAATCGTAAAAGGTGTGTGCTTGCTTGATAAGATCCTAACTTTACTTTAAATACACGGTAGGAATCGAATATCCATTTATGATTAAGGTTTTGCCCATTTTTCAGTGGGAGTGGCAATACTCATTGATGAGTGATTTATCGTACCCATTTATTAGTAACTGTTAGCAGCTAATGATTAATTGATTTACCTATTTTAGAATTACCTATACTTCACATCAGAACCTCATTTCCTCCAATTACTACTCCGTCGCAGCACACACCTTATATGGATCGCTAACCTTTATTTAGTTTCAGCATTTTCGACATTATAATCAAAAGGTGAGTTTTAAAAGTATAATTACCATGCATATAGATAAGTTAATGTACCAGAACCTGGACGGACACGAGCCTACCCAGGGGAGGACCCGGATACGACCACCCATGTGTGTCTAGAGTATCGCACGAGCTGACGAGTGCAACGGGAAGGACAGTAGGTGTATAGACTAGGGGGTTGGTCCCTAGATAAGCCTTCTTAGCGGAAGGCACAGCCTATGCACTGAACAATTACAATTACAATTACAAATTACAAAACATAATGTTTATTCTTCAAAAAACGTCAATGAATATTGGAGAAGGGGCCCTGGTCAGCCGTACGACGCAACTTAGTCGCGATGCTCTCACAAGAGCGCTGGACGGCACTGGAATCATTCTCATTTTTTTTTATTGAACACCCGTTACAAGCAAATCTGGCGAACTTAGTCAGCTACTTATGGCTGTTGGGACGGTTGGGACAAGCTCTTATTGCATATCCATTAACGTTTCTGTACAGCTGTTATCTTGCTGTTTAGTTGTGTGTGAACTTGAAAGGCGCTTATTCAACCTTTTCCCGGTTATCCGATAATCACTACACAGCTTTCTCTTGAAGATAATTTTAGCTTAGACTGTAGGTCACTCGTAGACTGAGTAAAATTTGTCTCGCTTTTCTTCAAAGATCTGCTCGAATTGTCAGCAAAATCGAGAGAGGTTTTACTCAGTCTATTAGTATACTCCTGAGATTGAGTAAAAAGTCCGTCGATTTTCCATATATTGAAGCTAATTTATGAGAAAAAGCGAGGAAAATTTTACTCAGCCTATGAGTGACCTCCGTTTTGGCTACTCTGAGTGAAAACCACTCAATTTTGAGTTGATCTCATCGGTCGTGTTTATTTTTGCGATTGAGTGAATGCAACTCAAATATGGGTTAGATTTACCGGCAGTGTTCGTTTTTCCGATTATAAGTGAAAAAGCACTCAATTTTGAGTTGATCTCATTGGGCGTGAAATACACCGAAAAGCTTTTTAGCTTTGCATTTTCACAAATAGAGGAAGCTTAGTGAAGAAGTTTACACATGGGTGCACGGTCGATTAAAATAACTCAAAATTGAGTTCGTACTCTAAAAATCGTAAAAAAAAATTACATGGCCATTGATATCAACCCAAATTTGAGTTCAGTTTACTAATAATTGCAAAAAGTGTACACGGAGAAAAACTGCAACTCAAAATTTGAGTTATTTTTACATAATTATGACTTGACCCTCTCACTTGCACTCGTTATTGTTGTCAAAAAGGAACGAGAGATTCGACCCAACGATACAGTTCAGCCCAATAAGCTACTTCTGAGCACATTACATATTCTCAAATTTACGTGAATTAAACTTAGGTTTGGGTAGAATTTACTTAAGAAAAAGTAATTTTTTTTTTTGCTGACGATTTACTCAAATTTGGGCTGAACCCGGGAATTGAGGAAAAAGTACTTAATTTAGGGTTGTTTTTCATCTCCGTGTAGGAACTCAGCAATGACTAAATTTGCCTCATGCTTTCCTGTGGAAACCTCAAAAATCTACCGGAAAATCAGGAAAATTGACGAAAAATTTACTCAGTCTAAGCACAGAGAACAGACATTGAGGCACAGAGAACAGACATTGAGGCACAGAGAACAGACATTGAGGCACAGAGAACAGACGTTCAAGTTCGGTCAGAAACTTATGTAAAATAAGTGGGAACGTCGCCGTTACGTGGTGTTAGCATCTCCTGATTGTCTCTATAAATTTTCCACTTTCGACCAATTTGGCGCTAGTATCGATAAATTTTCTGTTGAAAATTGCCACTTGGCGCTACCAGCACTTAGTGTCTAGTGTAAGTTTTGCAACGCCAGCGCCATCAGGTAATCAAAGAGGGTTTTTAAGTGGGGAAGTCGCCGTTAGTGGCGCTTAAGTCGAATAGGAATCTTTACACAAGTTTTTAGAGAAATTGACTTAAGCGCCACTAACGGCGACTTCCCCACTTAAAAACCCTCTTTGACAACATGATGGCGCTGGCGTTGCACAAATTAGAGATGCTAGCGGTACGTAACGGCGATGTTTCCACTTAACTTTACACAAGTTTCTGATCGAACATGGACGTCTGTTCTCTGTGTTTTCAGTGAGTGTTTGACTGCACAGGCGATGAAATCAACTCAAATGTGGGTTAAATTCGTCTCAATTCGTCACATGTGCCTCTGCTTGAACTCGTCTAAAAAGGTGAGAACTGCAGCAGTATCCTCTCGAGCTCAAAATGTCCCGCACTGCAACAATTCGCCACATGGGGATAGACTAGAGTAATACTTTCCGCTCACTTTATCACAAATTTTTTGTATGATCGCAGAACGTAAACAATCATTGGTGCGAAATTCTCATACAAATCTTACAATTTTGGTAAGCAAAAGTAAGTTATTGTATAGAATAATATATATATATATATATATATTTAAAACTCCAAAGTAATATTTGAATCATTAAATATAGTTTTTGCGATGAGAATCGTTGTTATGCATTTTAATCTTATTAAAAAATTATTAGGCTTTCGAACATCTCTTAATTTTATGAGGGATGTTCAAGTTGACTTATGTTAATACATTAATTTCACGAAAGTAAAAATGTAGATAATTATGTTTTCCATCAAATGCTTCATAAACAAATATTCAAACGTAGGTAGAGTAAAGTTTCCCAAACATTATGTTAGTTTGCGTGGGCGAGCTAAGAATTTCTTCATACTACATTTGAATCTTTATTTATAAAAGCTTTTTGAAAATTCACAGGAATTAACAAAAAATGTATCACTGCAATAACAAATACACTACTTAGACATTAACATGCATTGTCATTTAAACATTTCTTGAAACAGATACAACTTATGGAACCAGTTGCGATTGGGCCCATTACCAACCATGATGACGAAATCGATAGAGTTCCTGAAAAGGTTACAGCACAGCATCGCTGCGGTCACTGCCCGGTCGTTTTCCGAAGCAAAGCCCTTCTTGCTCGCCACGCCAGACAGTTGCATCAACCGGCGAAGAAATTCCAGTGCCCTCACTGCGATGCTGCCTACAATTCGTCGAAAAACTTCGCCCTCCATCGCGCCGCCATCCACGGTCCCAAACCGTTCAAATGCCCCAAGTGTTCGATCACCTTCCGTCGGCATGCCACTTTGGTGGGCCACATCGAGCGACACTATGTCAGCGAGGATCACATATGTGCCGTGTGTGATAGCGAGTTTCAATCGCTGGACGAGCTGAAAGTCCACGTCTACGAGGGCCACGAGGAGGGACTGAAAAAGAAGCATGCCACCAAGGTGGGTTTTTTGCAGGTTTTGAATTAGTCATTAGATTATTTAGGCAGCTTAATTTTCGTAGAAAATCAATATAGCGGCATCTACAGACAAACGAACCTTCAAGTGCAATTTGTGTGAGGACAAGGTGTTTGCCAAACGAAGCTTGCTCGAAAGGCATTTCCTCGTACACACTAAGCAGAAACCTTTTGTGGTAAGTTTTTAAAAACCGTTCTCCGTTTATTTGATTGATATGCATTCCTTCAACAGTGCGACGTCTGCGGTAAGGCCTTCAATCAGAGGAGCACCCTCAAAACTCACTCGTTGGTGCATAGCAAAATACAGGAGTTCATCTGTCTGCTGTGTGGTTTGAAATTCTCGCAGAAGGTAAATCTCCGGGTGCACATGCTTCGAGTGCACCCAAAACGAACCGCTTCCCTTGCTGGCAGACTTCCGTGCCCGTACTGCCCGTGCCTATTCAAGAAACTTGGAAGCTTGAATGCCCACAAAACGAAAGTGCATGCAGCCCTCCTAGCGGAAGCAACCAAAATTCCGAAAGAAGGTTCACAGGGAAACTCTCCTAGGAAGGACGTTGAGTGCACAGTAAATGTAAATACTTCGGCACCGGGCATCGTCTACAAATGTGGTAGCTGCGGAATGAATTTCAACGATATGGTTCAATTGAGCAAGCACATGAGAGTACATTCGAACGATGTCCATCATTATAGTAGGAGGTAAGTTCAAAATTCATCCACAGATTTTTCCAAAGCTTCGACCTATTTCAATTTCCAGACTTGATCATCATGCGCCGGAAATAGTGCAGCCCGTTGTGGCTAGTCGAAGCCAAGATCACCTTCAGGGAGCCAACGAGCAACGACGCTACCCATGTACGATCTGTCCCGCTGCGTTCAAGAAATCCAGCCATCTCAAACAGCACCACAAATCGCACTACGGCATCAAGGGCAATCGCTGCGGAATCTGCGACAAAACATTCACCACTAGCCACACTCTAAAGGTGCACTGCAACAGCCACAGTCAGAATTCCCAGCTTCACTACAAGTGTGATCAATGTCCGACCAGCTTCAGTCTGCAATCGAGTCTCCGAAGGCACCAAAAGCTGCACGAACATCCCGATCGATCCTACAGCTGTCCTTATTGCAATCGAACGTTCAAATGGTTTCAAAATTGTCGGACACACATCAAAGCGTCCCACTCGGAGGTGGCTGGAAGTTTCCTGGAGCCGATCGTGAATTCTTCCGATGTTGGTGGTACGAACTCTGCTCAACCGGAGGAAACCATACCTAGCGTCGAAGTTCCAGAGATGTTGATCGACTTGAGTAATCTACCCTCGAACGTGAGCATTGTCGATATCAGCAATCTTACCAATTGCATCGTAAAAATCGATGATCAGCTGTATGAACTTCCGGTGCAAATCGAAACCAACCATCCGTTGAATGACGGAATTGGCTCGACTGAATCCGATTTTGTAGAATTACCGAGTGGAGAAGTGATTATCCAGGATTGTGGGCAAATGGACGAAAGCAACAAACTGAATACCTCGGATGGTTCACTGTATCAGTATATGAACGAAACGTCTGGGGAAGGTTTCTCGCAGGAAGAGGTGCCTAATGATGTGGATATGACTATTCTACCGGGCGGTGATGCTAATCCAACGAACCAACAACAGTCCAGGCCGAAGGATAGTAAGATTCCGAACAAGACGGAGCAGGATCTTTTCGCAGAACTGGTTGAAGATGGGAAGAAAAAGTACAGCTGCAAAGGCTGCCGGAAGGTGTTCAAAAAACCGGTGGACTTGCGACGGCACATACGGACCCATACTGGTAAGTTTGGATGGGATTTTGAACGCACCGACTTATTCGTTGATACCTTTTACGGCGTTGAGAATGCTTATCCAGAGTTGCGACCTATCACAATCACCATCATCAAACAGCTGATGGTAGTAACGGTTTGTACATTCCTATCAATGTGCTCGCCCTAATAAAAAATAACCATAAACGAACGTTAACCCAAATCATTGAACTATTCCACAAATGGTTTGGATGATACCCAGAACACGTCGTTAAGCAAATTAACCATACAATTTTTATTAGGGCGTCGAAGCTCTCTCCATGACCATCCATCAAGTTGACGAAAGAAGTAAAAAGCAACTGGTGAATCTAGTCTTCTGTTGTGATCCATCACCGATCTGGTCAATCCTGACAATCACGACACTCATCTGTGCTCGTTTTGAAGCAGTTGCTGCTTTGCTTGTTTATGTGAGTGTGTTGGTGATTGAGCCCAACAGCTTCCGTTTAATGTTGCCTGCTTTGTTTGTAACTTGTAACCTGCCGAGATGAACTTGGAATGCGAAGGCATTGTTTTCATTTTCTTCTGTCGTTTCGCTTTTTCTCATGATCGTACTGCAGAAGTCTTCACTCTTTTCGTTGTGCTTTTCATTATCAGCAGCGAGTGTAACGATTTGCTTGTGAGCAGCGACCATTACTGGTGAATGTTGTTTTCCATGGCTCTAACTCTCACTGCGTGACAAAACGATCTGTAAGCGATAGTCGGTTGATGCGAAGACGAGTGTCACGTGAGTGTCATGATATTTTGCATCACTGACTTATCATTTAGGCCTAGTCTGCACGGTGTATGAGGTGAGATGACTCGCTGTCACTAGTGAAGTGACAATTGTCACCTCGGGTGGGGTGACTCTCCGTGCAAATCAAATGGAGAGTCACCTCACCCGAGGTGACAACTGTCATTTAACCATCACTTCGACTTAACAGTCACCTCACCCCACACGTCGCGCAGAATAGGGCCGGATTGTCAAGACAATAATACACACAGGTGTTAATTTGACTTTGGACTTTGAAGTTTGAGCTAGTTAAAGTAGCTTTAATTTATTTATTTATTTATTTATTTATTATTCTCTTCATCGGACTTTTGTTTTCTACATGAAGATTGATGGAGAAAAGCCTGTTTGGCAAATATTTGCGCAAATAGGCGTAAAAACCCCATACCTTTTCAAAATACAAGGAACAATATAAAAAGGACAGAAAACACATTAATTATAAAAATAAACACCGAATAATAATAATAAAACTATGGTCTTCACTAGGGGAAGGACAGCTCCAAGTATCAGTATCTAGGGGAAGTACAACTTGATCTGACGTAATATTTGATGTAAAAATTGCACAAAATGGTAGTTATTTTAGATTTTAGTATAAATATTAATGATATTAACTGTCAAGCGGAAAGCTACAAAGCAAAAAAATTAACAGTGTTAACTTTAACGCATACACGGTTAGAAAAAAGTACCCAAAATTAAGTTCTTTTCACTCATCTCGGCACTATAGTGCAGGAACCCAAAAGTAGGTAAAGCGGGTCAAAGTAAATTTCATTTACTTGTGTGCAATTCGTATGGAATTTTCCACTGGCTATTTAACCAAAAGTAAGTTAGTTGTACCCAACAGTAGGTAAATATGATTATACTCAACGATGGGTTCCCACACTTTACTACCCCTGTTGGGTGGTTTTGCTCCTCCGTTTTTGACAACATTAGAAGGAGAAAAGGAGACAAACTCGTCAAAAGTAGGTAAAAGTGAATTTTCCGTTGGGTACTTTTTTCTTACCGTGTACATTCAATTACGTTTCACCGTTGTTGTTTATGTTTACTGCAGCTTTCTGTTGGTCATCATTTTGGCCTAGATTTTCGTTTTCGATAGTTCTGATCGTTTTCGGCTTCGGCTTTTAATGATAAAAACGACACTGGACGTTCCCCCAGCAGCAAATCTCTCCAGGTTACAGGCTCATGGCGAATCGAGAGTAATACGACCACGGAACCATCACTCTGGGACTCCGTTTACAGGGACGGCGTAGTCAGTCGATTCCCGTTCCATCGGAGGACAGTACATTGATTCGCAGACGTGAAAATTAATGGCTATTTCCTGGGAACGGAAGTGCGGCCGAATGTATTAGAACAAGGAGAGGATTTCGGTGGCGGTGGCCAGCAAGATTATCAAGGAATGACTTGCCTCTCGTGTGAAATCCATTTTTGATTAAACGAATGTCAAATGTACACTTAAAACCAAACATAGTCAAACACAAACAAGCAACTGTCAGACTAAGGATAAGATTCGCAAATATCACACATATTAAAATATTTAATATTTCCACCATCGGTATTGATGCCGATACTTGGAGCTGTCCTTCCCCTAGATCAGTATCAATACCGATGGTGGAAATATTAAATATATTAATATGTGTGATATTTGCGAATCTTATACTTAGTCTGACAGTTGTTTTTTGTTTGTTTTTGACTATTCTTGTTTTAAGTGTACATTTGACATTCATTTAATCAAAAATGTATTTCACACGAGAGGCAAGTCATTCCTTTGTGATCTTGCTGGCCACCGCCACCAAAATCCGCTCCTTGTTCTCATAAATTCGGCATTTTTTGGTAGCTGTTCTCAGTGCACATAATCGGCCGCACTTCCATTCCCAGGAATTAATTTCCACGAATTCTTCATCGTCTATGAACCAATGTGCTGTTCTCCTATGGAACGGGAATCGATTGACAACGCCGCCCCTGTTAACGGAAGCCCAGAGTGATGGTCCCGTGGTCGTATTACGCTCGATTCGCCATGAGAATGCAACTTGGAGAGATTTGTTGCTGGGGGAACGTCCAGTACCGTTTTTATCACGAAAAGCCGAAGTCAAAATCGATCAGAGCTATCGAAAACGAAAATATAGGCAAAAATTATGACAAACAGAAAGCTGCAGTAAACATAAACAACAACGGTGCAACGTCATTGAGTGTATGCGTTAAAGTTACACTGTTATTTTTTTTTACTTTGAAGCTTTCCGCTTGACAGTTAATATCATTAATATTTATACTAAAAATTATAATATCTACCAATCTGAGCATTTTATACATCAAATATTACTTCAGATCAAGTTGTACTTCCCCTAGGGTCTTCATCATAAAAAAATAACCTCGTCGTATGGCATGGAATTGTTCGTCTTGCAACAATTTGCTGATTGAAAGCAGTTGCATGTGTCGAACCATATCGTCACCTATCCAGCAGACTACGTTGAATCCGTTGACGAAATGTTTCCACTCTGCAGTTGAAATCGAAAAAAAACTTAGAATTAATTGAAACGGGCAGACATGAACCGTATTGGATCATGTAATCCGTAATTAGCTGCACGGGGTCCGAGATGCAGGAAACTTCTCGATCGTAGAACTCATTCAGGTGCATAGATTTCTAATTCAGCCAAAATCCCGGGAGAGTCGATTTAGCTTATCAGCACTTTTGCTGCAAAAACTGCCTGGTTAATCTTCCGCCTACGTTCAAGAGTTTCAATACCCGATCTTCGTAGGGTGGAAGGTTCGTAGGATCGTACCAAGGAAGGTGGCGAAGAGCGTAACGAACGAATTTCCTCTGAACAGACTCGATCCTCGCTATCCAAACTGTTTCATACGGACACCATACTACTACACCAAATTCCAAGATCGATCGCACTAGAGAACAATATAGAGCTGTCAGGCAGGTAGGATCCCGAAACTCATCAGAGATCTTAAAGATGAACCCGAGTTGCCTGTTAGCTTTGGCTATGATATCCGTGTAATGTAGCTTAAATGTCAAAGCAGAATCAAGTGTTCACCCCTATTCTGTATTTCGTTTCGAACGGAATTCTCATACAAAAAAATATTTTTTTGTATGAGAATTTCGTTCGAAACGAAATACAGAATAGGGGTGGTAATTCCTAGATCACGAACGTTGTCCACACGCTGCAGAGGTTGGTTATCGATCGTATAATTGAATGCAATAGGTTTTAGCTTGCGATGGAAAGTGATGATATTGCATTTTTGAACATTCAACGTGAGAAAATTCCTAGAGCACCACTCTTCGAAACTATCGATCAGGTGCTGCAACCGCAGGCAGTCAGTGAAGCATCGCACAACCATGTACATCTTAACATCGTCTGCATAGAATGACCGGCAGCCAGTTGGAAGTATCAAACCGATTTCGTTAATGAATATGGAGAATAGCAGCGGTCCCAAATTGCTGCCCTGAGGAACGCCTGAGTTGTTTGAAAAATAATCCGATTGATCAGACCCGATTTTCACACAAAGCTCTCGATTGGTAAGATACGATTCAAACCAACGAGTGAGTCCATGAGAAACACCAAGCTTATTGAGTTTGGCAAATAGAATGGCATGATCAACCCGGTTGAAAGCAGCCTTGAGATCCGTGTATACGACGTCCACCTGTGCCCCTGCCTCCATATTCCGTAGGCATAGGGAAATGAAAGGAGCGAGGTTTGTTGAGACCGAACGTTTGGGGTGGAAACCATGTTGGTCAGGAGAAATGTAGTTTCTACAGCTGGCAAATAAAGCGTCGTTGATGATTATCTCGAAGTAATTCCTCGGAATTCTCCACATTTTGTTTGTCTCCTTTCTTGAAAATCGGGAACATGAACGAAGATTTCCAACGAGAGGGAAATACACCTTGTTGTAACGAAAAAATGTTGAGCATCTTTTGAGTATGAACGATGGAATGCCGTCAGGCCTAACAGCGTTCGAGAATTTCAGCTTCTGGATGGCAGAGTCGACGAGGTCCGATGTGACCGTGAAAATATCAAAGCTGAACGCGTCACTGGGAGTATCTCTGATCCCTTCAGCAACTTGGCTTAACGATGCCGTTGAATCGTTGAAAACACTCTTGAAATGCTCAGCCAGGAGGTTACATTTCTCTAAAGAAGTGTTGGCTCTTTTATCGGTTATATGAATCTCAACCGGTAGCCCATCCTCTTTCCTTTTTGTCTTCACAAACGTGCAGAATAGCTTAGGATTACGCCGGAGATTGGTCTGCATACGTCTTGAGTACTTCTTGTATAGAAAACGGTTGTACATTCGGTAGCAATTACTTGCTAACGAAAATAATCGCTTGGTGAATGGATTACGGGACTGGCTGTATTTTCGAAGAGCCTTCGATCTCACACGCTTCAAGTGTTGTAATCGAGCATTGGACCATGCAGGTTTTGGAGCAGGTCTCCTCAGAGGCACACAATCCATTATTAATCGGCTAACAACTTCGTCGAAATAGTTAACGGCTTCATCAATGGACGAACACAAGTCAAGCGACTGCCAATCTACCTGGGCCAGTGAGTGATTCAATGCGACGTAGTCAGTTCTACGAAAGTCCAGGCTTTGTACATCAACGATGTTTTCATAGAGAACAGGAACTGATCGATTGATGAATGCTTCCAACGCTGGATGATCGGCGCTAGATGTATCAGAGGCTCAGATGCCTCAGCGACACTGCACTCTAGTCCGGTGGCTTCGTTCACCAACACAAGATCAAGCAGCCGAGAGTTTCTGTTTGGTAGAGAATTAATTTGCATTAAACCATGCAGGCTAAAACCATCCAAAAGAGCACAGCAGGAGGCAGGCATGTACGACCGAAGAATGTCAATGGTTGGATGATCATTCGCGGAAATATTCCAAACAAGCCCAGACTGGTTATAGTCGCCAAATAGCAGAGCTAGATCGTTGTGATGTAATCGGGACAATACAGCACCAATGGAACTGATATGGTTCTTAACGCAACTCAAATTAGATTTACGGTCAGGAGGAAGGTACATAACGCCGATGCTTATCATGTTGCGTGACGTCGTAATCTTCACCCATAACTGCTCAAGAGAAGTATTAACCGGAGCAGGATCGAGGCAACAGTTCAGTCGTTTGGAAACCGCAATCAAGACGCCACCACCGCGTGATTTGGCACTGTTCATCCGGTTACGGTCATTACGAAAAACTGAGAACCTACTGCCAAATAATTGTGCTGAGTGAATTCGATCATCTAGCCAGGTTTAAAGTATGGTTCCACTGTGAATTCTTCGGATCCTTTTACAAAAATTGAAAAAACTTCAACTCTATTTGCTTGGTTGCTGAACACAAATCCATAAAGATCTTGCTAATCGAAAATAAATTGAGCGTCAACTCAGGAATATGTAGAACATCTTGAACTTCAATCGAACCTTCATGCAACTTCAAATTACCAATACCCTTCGCCACGGTCTTGATTGCTTATTTGCTTTAACGATTGCATGATCTTCATGTTCTTTCTCCGTGATATTGTCCTTGGCTTTCATTTTATGTGAACTTGTTGTTGATTCATTGATACAGCATGAGGAAAATTTCCATAACATGACACTTTGGATATCTTGGCTTGTGCCTTGAATAGAAATATTCATTTCCCGTACCTCTCAAATGCCATTTGCATTCCTGTTTTATCATCGGGTTGTAGTCTTCCAGAAGTATCTTCATTTGAAGAAATTCCAACCAATTCATCATTTCAACAAGCTTTTTGTAAACAAACCTTCTTATGCCCTTTTCTCGCCACCCATATGACACCAACGCAAACCTTTAACATCACCGGGTAGGGGACACTTTCCCCTTCCCGATGATATTGCTGGTTTGCGTGGGCGACCCTCGGTTGGTGAGAAAAGGGCCTACAAAGGTTTATTTACAAAAAGCTTGTATGCCCTTTTCACATGTTGTTCTGGATTTACTCTTATCGCATTTGATCATACTGTGACGCAAATTGAAAGGGGCAGCTCTTCACCGATCGACAGTGTTGCCAAAACACTGGTTATTCAGCTGTGCCTCCAATTTGTTAAATCCTAACTTTCATCCATTATTGCAGGCGAACGCCCATTCCGATGTGATCAGTGCTCGAAAGGCTTCACCCTGAAAACCGTTCTCCAGTCGCATCTGAAAACGCACGAAGCACAACGGGAAATGGTGCCCTGTCCGGAAAAAGGGTGCAGCAGTAAATTTTCCAGCAAGACCAGCCTCGAGCTGCACCGTCGTATTCACACCGGAGTCCGACCGTTTCAGTGCGGCGTTTGTACCCTCACCTTCAGAACATCCGGGCACATGCAGGCGCACATGACATCCCACGAACGGCTGGCCAAGCGTCGGGAGCAAACGAATTTTGAGCTCCTGTATCAGGAGTGATATTTTTTTTGTTTGGCATGGACCATTCTTGCATTCCAATCTGTGAAGACTGTGATATGAATAAATCTGTAAGCTTTCGAGTATTGTGCATATGCACTACAATGAATGAAATATATTATGAAAAGGATTCTTTTTTTTCGAATTGTATCGAACCTAGCTATGAAATCCGGGAGATACGCCGTAGGAGTAGGTAAAGTGCATATCACCCCCTTCCGGGCCACCATTCTTCAGTCGTTTGCTCTCGTGAATGAAATCGTCCACATCTTCCGAAACGGACTCATAGCGCTTTCTGCCTCGAGCTTCCGATGAACTGATTCCGTGATCCTCTTCCACCTCGCTCGCTTGATATTGCAGGAAAATCGGCTCGATTCGTTTGCCGGATTTCTTCAACATGTATGGATCGAATGGGAAGAAAGTGTCCAGGCATTCTTCCGGGGTTTGGGATTCGTTTTTGTAGATGGTAGCCAGTTTTCGCCGTGCGTTCCGTTCCAGGATCGTGTGACAGTAGGCCAACTGGTGGGCACGGGTTACTCCAGCAAAAGCGGTTGCCACTGCCGGGAGGCACACTCTAAGCGGATTAAGGTGGCATGTAACGATTGAGGACAGTTGCAGGGTTTGAAGGAAGATGAGATTTTTAGCACTGGATGTGAGCTGTCTGCTGCGGAATGCAATCACATAGAAAATGGCCTGGCAAACCGAATAGAACACCATATGGGCTCTCAGCGATTGATTGTACTGCATCGAGTCCGTTCGTTGGATGTAGTGGTGCACCCATTGTGAGAATTCTTGTAGAGTGGACTTAAGAAGACTACAAAGAAAGAGCATTTCGTGAATAATTTGATAAATTTCAAGACGCAGAAATGTACTTACATTATTGGAACAAAATTTGCACGTGCCAGCATGCTGGCAATGTAACCGACGGCCGCCTGGCGCATCGGTGGGGAAACATTAGGATTAATCACTTGCTTCCACAAATACGTTATGAAATACTCAACGTAAGATTGTTTAAAACTACAAAAATAAAACATAAGGAATTGCACATGATGCGTATTGTGCGTGGGAAGAATATGATTATCGAACAGAGCTAGCAGAACTTTGAACATTCTATCTGCGTCGCTTGCATTTACGGATGTTGCCCGTCGCTGGATGTACTCGAACATCTTTTCCATACAACAATCCAGGGTTTCAGCAATCGGTAGCTTCATCGTAGCATCATCTCCTAATTCCTCATCGATCAATCCCATCGGGTCTTCATCCATCGTAAAAATCTGATGGTCATCTTCCGGAAACTCAGCATCTTCAATCTCATTTCGCGGAGTATTTACATCTATTGTAAGCAACCGATTGAAGACAATTTCCAACAGTTCCTCCGAGAACATCGACGAATGTTCAGTCATCCAAAGCACGTTATGTAAGTAGCCGCATATTACATGAGACGACTTTTTAAAGTACGGAAACTGCTTCCTCAACTGCACTAGTATCACATTGAATATCCTGTTGAAATAAACAATTTGTCATATAAACTACTCTTCGAAACATTTTCACCCTATACTCACATCGGAATAACATTCTTTAGCCTTGCGATCAAATCATGAACCGGAGCAAAAACTTTCGACACCTCTTCGCTCGGCACCCCGTGAGTCCACCCGGTCCGGTCTTCCTCCTTCGGTACGAACTGCTGCACCAGCTTCGCCACAGCCAGTGACGTGTAATTGCTGTGCGCTACCAACAGTTCTATCACAAATTCCATATAGATCTCCTGAGCCGATTCGCTTCTCGCCAGCCAGTTCACCGACAGGAGAGCCTCCACCAGCATTCCGAAGTTCGAATTCAACATGTAAACGCATCGTTTCGATTCGACGAAAACCTGCTGGAACTTGCCGTCGTCAAACTGTTCCTCCTTAACCGCGGCCAATAGATGCTCGAAACGCTGCAGCCGATTGCTTTCCAGCGCATCCTGGAGCACCGACTCGACCGAGAGGTCATCGAATAGGACCTTCTTCTGCGACAAGCTCGCATTCAACTTCGATCCTTCCAAGCTGGGGTACGGTTTTAAAATAGATGAAATACGACGCTTTTCCGCTGTGACAGACATTCTATCATGGCCAAATTGGATTCAATCCTTGATACGCGGAAGAAATCCAATGCAAATCAAGGTTAGCAGTAGCCGTATAGGTACGTAGCACTAATAATTATTGTTTACCAAATTTTGAGCAGTAGTTTACGCTTTCGGCTGGGTGATTTTCAATCAAAATTTTCCCCGTTTTAATTTTTCACTCAATTTGTATCGGTTAAACAGCAATTTTACAGAATTTTCCACGTTATGACTCGATTTTTTCACAATTTCACGTAAACGAGCACGTTTTAACACGTTTCGCAGATTTTACTCACCACTGCGAATATTAGTTTGACGTTTCGAATCGCGACCGCGAGAGCGGAATTTTTTTTTCCAGTTTCTGTTTTGATTCTCCTCTTTCTATATTGACCACAAACGAACCGAACAATAGCCCACTGGTTTTATGCTTTGTGTTTGAGAAAGTTTCGAAGATGGCTGCGTTCTTGATGAGCAACAGGCACGTGCACAGATTGCGGGCAACGTCAAGGGTTTCACATGTTGATTTCAAGGGGGGGAGGTGGCTGTCAAATACGAAGAATTCAGTGCCAACATTTCAAAGGGGCGTAATTGCTTTTGTAAACAATGACTTTAGCCATCAATTTCTCGCGAATGAAATCTTACCTCTTCAAAATAACAATGCTAGCTGGTAGAGGAAACATTCCTCTACCTACTGGTGTCATTATTTTTCATGAGTGAGCTTTTATTCGCGAGAAATCGATGGCTAAAGCCATAGTTTACAAATGCAATTACGCCCCTTTGAAATGTTGGCACTGAATTGTCGCCTACCTCGCATAACTGGTTCCAAACGTAAACAAGCCATAAGAAACCTACATCGTTTGTTTACGTTTGGAACCAGTTTCATACAAGAATGATGAGTAGGCTGATTTGACAGCACGTTCCCTCCCAGGTTGATTTACGCAGTGGCGTCCACCACAAGCAGAGCATCCTTTAATCGTATGGTCTGGTGGAAAATCGACTTAATGTATGGCGAAATTCACATTTATTTAAAAATATTAATAATGGTGCAATTAGTTTAATGCATTATTTCTACATAATGTCACGATTACTAAAAATAACAAAATGGATAAATTTTATCACCGCTAGAAGGAAGATTTCAACACGGCGAATGAGAACGACCCAAACTTGAATTTAGTTCACTCATAATCGCCAAAAGTGCAGGAACTCAGCGATGAGTAAATTTGTCTCATGTTTTCCTTGGTTTTTCCAGGGAAAAATTCCTGAATTTGAGAAAAGTAAAGATTGGATTAACTCAGTCTATTGGTACTACTCCGAGGCTGAATACATTTTTCGTCAATTTCCTCATTTTCCGGCAGATTTTTTAGGTTTTCCACAAGAAACCATGAGACAAATTTACTCATCGCTGAGTTCCTGCACTTTTGGCGATTATGAGTGAACTAAACTTAAATTTGGGTCGTTCTCATTCGCCGTGAAGAGAAATCGACGAGTTTTCGAAAATATTCATACAGCAAAACAGGTTTATCCACCGGGCATAGGATTTGATGGTAGCAAAAATTGCTCACACAGCAAAAAAAGTTGTTGAATATTACATCGAAACTGCTGCAACCAGGTCAATCCATCGGCTGTGTAATATCACATTGTACGATGTACATCGATTTTGCGAACAAAATTACATCCATTGATGTAATATTGCATCTGCTTTTTGCTATTACATCATTATTTCATACATCAGCTTGAATTACGTTGATCGATATTACATTTTTTTTTGCTGTGTACGGTTCGAACGTTAACAAGAAGCCGTATTCTCGTTCTCGTTTTTTTTTTTGTATGAAAACGCGCTTCGAATGAAAACAAGAATATGGGTGTATGCAAATATATTATATTAACAATATGATCCACTCTTTCGCTTAGCTGGCGAACCGAATTTTTAGCGATGAAAGCACCTCTGTGGCCAAAAAGGCTACACGGCGAATGAGAACAACCCAAATTTGAGTTTAGTTCACTCATAATCGCCAAAAGTGCAGGAACTCAGCGATGAGTAAATTTGCCTCATGTTTTCCCAGGTTTTTCCAGGGAAAAATTCCCGAATTTGAGAAAAATAAAGATTGGATTCACTCAGTCTATTGGTACTACTCCGAGACTGAATAAAATTTTCGTCCATTTCCTCATTTTCCGGCAGATTATTTAGGTTTTCCACAGGAAACCATGGGACAAATTTGACTCATCTCTGAGTTCCTGCACTTTTGGCGATTATGAGTGAACTAAACTCAAATTTGAGTTGTTCTCATCCGCCGTGTACCAATGTATTTGTTTATCGTCACGAGGGGTAAACCAAATGAAAATTTGTTTAATATTTCAAATGAATGTATTTCAGCATTTTATTTTATTGGATGACAATGTCACTGTAGTCAGACAAATTTTAAAGTAATATACACAATGTAATTAATGAAAATAATTTGACTCTTGCTTTTGTAATAAGTACTATATTTGCACCCCTCGATTGTAATTGAATGATTGCTGCTTACCTTTTTCAACGCTAGATGGTGCGTGAAGCAATATTTTGCGGGTCGCCATTGCAGCATTTGGAAAAGGCATGAATGGATCATATGGATCATTTGGAAAAGGCATAATGGATCATATGGATATTGGAAAAGGCATGAATTGGATCATATATCATATATATATGATATATTTGCTTTTGTGTGAATGTCATATTCACCCCTATTCTGTATTTCGTTTCGAACGAAATTCTCATACAAAAAAATATTTTTTTGTATGAGAATTTCGTTCGAAACGAAATACAGAATAGGGGTGATTATCACCGACCTTATTACCAAACAACACCTTAGTGTGTGACATCACGTGAACGTTCCTCTGCGTTTTAGTTACCAATTCAGTTAATTTGACACGTTTGTTGCACTTTCGTATGTCTCAATATTATTGCTGAACCACCGTCAAACCCACTATCCAGAGGCAGCGAACCACCTTAACACCTGAAATTATACAAAAACAAATTAAAAATTAGCACCAACCCCCCCTTCCCCGATTGCAACAGCTCCAAGCCATGCAACAGGATCATTTCGTGCCCCATGACAACTTGATCCAGTTGCTTCCAAGTTCATTGTTTTGGCGCCAGCCGGGAGAGACGTGGGCGGAATATTACAATGTGAGACAATTCAATGCAGACGTCTTCCAAATTGGGCCGATCGTCAGGTAATCAGTGGGTTACCACCTGGCACCTCTTAGCAAGCACTATGCTACGAAGCGGACCGGAAGGTTCAATGAACAACCTCCCCCATTAAGCAGAGATGCCTGCTTTATGCTAATTTTATTTCAAACTTTTGGAAGTACAATTTATATGTCATATATTTTTATTTATTTCCATAATATACACCGATAGGCTTATCATATAAGCATCTCAACAAAAAAAAAATCACCATTTAATATTCAACGCAGTATTCATCTTCTCAATATGATGGTAACTGGTGTGCAGAAACTCCTTCCGTTTGTTATTATCGCCCGCATTGTCCAAAAAGGTCGTGTACACCGTCTCTACCGCTTCGTTTTCCGGATTCGACTGCGGCAGCATTCTGTACATTGCTTCCAAGTCCGTGGTCAACCCCCGGGGCGTCTGCCCGTTGGACGGTCGAACCTGGGCGCCTCCATTCAGGCAACCAGAAGGACAGGCCATTATCTCGATGAAGTGATACGTACACTTGCCGCGCTTTAGTTTCTGAACCATGTTCTGGATGTTCCTAAATCCGTTTGCAACCGCAAACCTAAGCAACACCTCTCCATTTTGCTCCAGTACCGCCTCGCGAAGATCGTTGTTACGAAGATTTTTGAACTCTACGTGCTCAATGTGGATATTAAAAAGTTTTCGGGCGGCGTACTTGAAGATGTATTCGCTATATCCACCGGATCCGGAAGTTTCGTGAGCCCACACAAACACCGGTGGACGCCCCGTAGGCCACGGCCAATCGATGGGAGATTTATCCACGATTTGAAGTTCTTCAATTCCCGTTTCATCCAGCATTTGCTCGACTTCAACTGCAAGATGCAAACATAAACATTAAGACTCCCATTATCCTACCGATCACACCAACTTACTGGACGTTATCACACAATCAACATCTCGGCAATTGTCCACGTCCGAGAAGAAATCTTCCCTCGAAGCTTCCAGCTTTTTGTCGTAGCAAGGCATAACCGTAACATGATAGATCCGATCACCACTGATGCCCAACACCTTTGCCAAATATTTCTTCACTAGAACGCCCATAATTTGCTGAGGCGATCTCGTCGTTGCAATGAACGGCAGAATAAAATTCCCATGAGTCTTTTCAGCATAGCAAACCCATCCGGGACAAGACGAAGCCAACATTGGCAGTGTTTGCCTGTTCGTGTTGTACCGTTCCACAAACTCATTCCGACTTTCAATCAGCGCCAGGTCATCGGCTATTTTCGTATCAACAACCATGTCCGCACCGAGCTGCTTGAAGTAGCCTAAAAACCAATACCTACAGATAACAACCCCCAGCAACCATTTCTAAAGCACCTTATCTCACCTGCAACGCGCTCGAACGTTTCCTCTGGGTTTAGATTGTATCTTCTTGCAAGCGATAAGATTGGTTGTTGCGCGACGGTGAACACTATGTACCGGACTGCGTCCAGCTGATTGTTAAGCTTGGCCAAATTATTTTCGTTCATCACCCTCAGCAACTCTTCCTGACTCTGCTGCGTTATCAGGACGCCTTCCGCCGAAGTGATACAGCCGGAACATGCAAGGCAATCGGCCAGAGTGATTTCCACTTTTTCCAATTTTTGAAGGCCACTCTGAAACAGATTTTCCGTGTGCTTAATAACATTGAAGATAAAATTAACTTGCGCTACTTACTGAAGTTGCCTGCATGTAAGATCCATCCTCTTGAATAGTAATTTTCGATCCAGTTTTCGACTTGCTAGTCTCGATCTTAACGGGTTTAATGCATTCCTGTAAAGTCAATGACGATTTCAGATTGAATAGGGCGCTTCCGGTTTGAACAACCAATGTTTTACCTGCGACGGCGTAATAAAATCATCCAAGTCTGTGAGTTGCAGGGCACCGCTAAAGCGAGACATTTTGAAGAGCTTTTTATCTATGTAAATAATTAAAACTGATAAAGATTATTATTGATACGTGATGAATAGCTCTGCGCACGAAATCGAAGATGAAACTGATGTCGTTTTCGTTTTTGCGGTGTAGCTACACCGGTGCTACACTGCCGAACACCGAAAAAATTTAGGGTGTAGCTATCGGTTGCACCTTTGTTTACAAAGAAATGATGATGAACTGTCAATGACTCGCACTTATTGCTGCTTACACTACACCGGTGTAGTGTAGTAAAAACGAAAACGACATGAAAAAGTGAATGTTTTTGTTTTGATTAGCGGAAATTTAGCAATCGGTTAAACGTCAAGCTGAAATTCACCACCCCAAGCATCCCAGCGATGTTTCAGCTTTTAGAATGTACCTTGAAACATATATGTATATACGGAGAATCGAAACAACTCAAAATTAAGTCATTTGTACTCATCTTGACAGCTAAGTGAAACCAGTCAAAATTTAGTTCTTCGCGAAGAATCCAATTTTAAGTACTTTGCGAAGACTTCGCTTTGAGTAAAATGAACCTGTTCTTAATTTTAATAAAATTAAGCGGAAACATTGTATTTTATATAATTTTCTTGAATGTGTTGATCTGGTTATCTAAAATCAATCATTGTTATTGTATTCCAGCTTATGTATAGAGTATACATTTAATTAAATTCTTCCTTAACCAATATTAAATGCGTCCTTGACCTGAGGGAAGGTGTCTGATTTTTAGTCACTTTCTTCATCAGTACGTTTTGAAAACATGCACCAACGAGTCCCAGCCACAGTTTGCCAGATAATTAGGTACACTGATAAAACAGCAAAGATTTAATTTATGTGATTTCACTCATAATTTTTATAAAACACTCCACACAGAAAAACTAAACTACCCACCGCTTGGGTTTTTTAAACTCAAATTTGAGTTATTTGACCTCTGCCCGTTTCATTTCCTCTCGCTATTGTTGTCAAAAATAGAACGAAAGATTCGACTCAACCGTCTAGTTCCGTACGAGAAGCCAAAATTGAGTAATATGCGATATACCAAAATTTGAGTTAATTGAACTTAATTTTGGGTAGAAAAAATTAAAAATAACTTAGCGATGGGTATTTTTTTTTGCCGTGCTTAAATGCAAACTACTTTGAGCCGTTTTACCCAAATTTGGCTTATCGTACGGAACATGGGAGATGAGTGAAAAGAACTTAATTTTGGGTTGTTTTGAATTTCTGTGGCACACATAAATTGCATAAACAACACATCAACCTCATGTGCAATACATATGCCAAGTATGTGTATTTTAAATGAACATCATGTGTGGTGACATATTAGGTTCTGCAGCGTGACGTCACGAATGAACTCAGTGTTAATAGGCTGAACCTTTTTGACAGTTCAGTGGTACTGTTGACAAGCACTTAGTCGTTTTTTTTCGAAAAAACAAATTCTAAAATTTCCGAATTTTAACTTGAAAATTGTCGAGGAACAGCGCGATGAAAGTATGTTGCTCATGGACATTGCAGAAGTCTAGATAGAGCTGGAATTAGGGCGTAACAGCTTTTGTAAACAATGACTTCTCTCGATGAATTCTCGAAAGTTATGGCTCTCGCTGGCAAATCGACATTACCATCGAGTAGAGGAAGACTTTCCCTACCCGATGGATATGTTGGTTTGTGTAGGCGTACCTTGAATTCCTAGAAATCAACGAGAGAAGTCATTGTTTACAAAGGCTGTTACGCCCTAATTCCAGCTCTATCTAGAAGTGTGGTTTGCATCTCACTGCAGTCTGAAAAATTATCGAGAAAATCCACCCAAGAAAAAATCGACTAAGTCCACGTAAACAGTACCACTGAACTGTCATCAGATTGAGGTTAACCCCGACGGTGCAAAACCTAATAGCAAGAAATTATGTGTGGACACACATAAAAAAAATACACCGGCTACTGGACCACGGAAAGCGAATATCAAAATGGTGATCAAATACTCCTCTTGTGAATGTTTTGCTAGGAAATTAGGTTTTATTAGAAGCTGTTGGCATACTTTAAAGGTAAATATGATGAAATTCCTTGGAGAAATATGAGTAATAATATATTTTGTTTCAGTTCAGTTGGCAGCATCAGCGCAAGAACAACATAGAAAAAGGCCAGGTGGGGCTGGAAGTGAGTGGCTATCCTAGTGTACCGGTCTGTGGATTTGGATATGTTGCGCATTTCAGTGCTTTCATAAGCCAATCACGGCGGCTTGTTCAACTTGTAATTGATGATCAAGTACTACAACAATGGATAGGAGTAAGTTTGAAGATGATTTTTATGATTTGAGTTGCTAATCTTGGCTTCAATTCTATTTTCAGTTGACGTCAAGCGCTCTTTTTTTTCTAAAAGGTTTAATTAATGCACTGTGATGAGCGATGCGAAAAGAATAATATTGGGAAAAATTGCAGCTTTCGGTACAAAACGTTGTTAATCACTATCATTAGATACATCACTTTGAAACGTCACGGATGTAGTGACCGAGAACAAATATATAATGGTACATTGGATTCAGAGTTTTATTTCAATAAAATAGAATATCTCTAAACACTAGCCTGAACATTTCAAAATAATATAAACAATAATACACATAAACGTACAAATGATATTCATCTGACACTATCCATAGTTGCCATGTGTGGGACACACATAAAATTTATTACATGCAGAATGAATTCATTTTATGTGTCTCACATATAAATTTCATTTGTGTAATCACATTGCAAAAATCTATGTGTGTGGCACATAAACAAAATATGATCAATTTTATCAGTGTAGGCTGTTTTTGAGAATCGAATATGAGATTTCTGGGCACTGGTTTGGACATTAAATTACCTTCAGCAAACAAACCTCTCCCTCGCATGCTTCTCCAGCTGAAGTCATGAATATGGCGCACGATGCAAGTAATTTTTCACCCAAAATAAAGTCTTATCAATAAGAACAAAATTTAAACCAAAACAATAGTGATAGGCGAGTACTTATTTTTAAGAACTTTCTATCTCGATTTTGAGTTGTTTCGGTTCTCCGTGATATAAGAAATATTCAGAGGAAGAGATAGACGAGTGCACGGATGGATTTAAGTTCACTCACTCGACAAAAAGTGACACAACAGCGGGGCCCTGTTTACTAAAAATGAACACATGTATTCATTTTTAGTAAACAGAGCCCCGCTGTTGTGTCACTTTTTGTCGAGTGAGTGAACTTAAATCCATCCGTGCACTCGTCTATGGGCGAAGAGAATGTTTTGAGCCAAATGAACTGCCAAAATCTGAGCTAATCGAACATTCTCATTAGAATTTGTCTTTTTCTTACTAGATTATATTTGAGAGTATTGAAATCGAACAGAAATTCAATCACCTTTATGTTTCGTGTGCTTCTCAAATTCAACTAGTTTTTGGAATCAAAAACTATATTCTAACTCTATTGATTAATTGATCTTACACAACAACAAAAATGTAATATCGATCAATGTAATAAATGATGTAATAGCAAAAAGCAGATACAATATTACATCAATGGATGTACACAGCAAAAAAAGTTGTTGAATATTACATCGAAACTGCTGCAACCAGGTCAATCCATCGGTTGTGTAATATCACATTGTACGATGTACACAGAATCAAATGATGTGACACACAAAACCGATGTAATTTTTCTGACGTAATATATGTGATGTACACAGATGAGATGTAAGTAAACGAAGCGATATAGGGGAAATGTAGGTAATGTTGGCCTACATGTCCCTAAGTTGGGCCCATACATAAATTCAGCAATCGACTAAATTTTCAATAGTGACCAAAAATATCCATTAGTACCGTTCTAATGACGCGTTCATTTAGATTAAATTGATAAATAGCAGATTTTTAGCGATGGGCCCAAATTAGGGACATGTAGGCCGACATTACCTACATTTCCCCTATGTAATAGTGATGCGATGTAAAGAAAAAAACCGAGGAAAAAACGATGTATATACGTATACGTGGTTGATTAAATTGCTTTGCTATCTTTTTTCTCACATAAATTTTAATCAGTTGTACAAACTGCAGTTACTCAGTTACAGATTACGGCTTCCTCTGGTACTGCGTGGAGTACTGCGCAAAGTTGATCGGCATGAAAGACTTCCAGAAAGCATAACGACTAGTCTCCGCCGTGTTGAAGGGCTGACCACCGGGTGGTAGGAGCCATGGACCATGGACAATCAGCATTCCTACTGAATTCGGGTCAAGTAGAAGGTACAGCTAGCTGGATGGACTTCCTTCGGCACTGCGTGAAGCACTAACAGTATTGGTCGGCATTGAGGGTTCCCAGAAAGTATGGCGTCTCTGCTTAGTTAACCGTCTGGTTGAAGGCAATGAAAAAATCTCGTCGCGGATGTTCTGCAAAGATAAAAGCGAAATCGTCAATAAATCAACTAAAATTTGAAAAAATTATTTCAACTTACAGGTTGCTGCTTCCTCTGGCAATGCGTGGAGTACATTCACTCCCGATCATCTAGAACGAAGTCTTACAGTGTTGCGAGATTTAATATAGCATCAACATTATATGATATTACACAAATTTTGTGTAATATTACACAACTATTTTGGAATGACTTGGTTGCATCTGATTCTGTGTAATAATTATGTTATTGATATGTGAATATTACACAGATGCAACGTAATGGACAATGGTAATTTTGTTTCGGTGTAATTTAAAGAGCGATGTAATATGACATCCAAATGGATGTTATTATACATCTACTTTTCTTGATTACATCCGTTTTGTTGTACATCATGTGAATTACGTTGATGCATATTACTTCTTTTTTTTTTGCTGTGTATCTCTCCCTCTGAGTATTTCTAGTCTATATATATTCCAAACAAACATTGAATGTTGAATAAGGGCTAATTCAGGCAAAAATAAGCTTCTTCAGCTAAAAAATAGCTTATTCAGCTGTTGATCAACTCAAATTGTTTGTTGGGTTACTCCCAATACCATTTGGGTCCTTTTAAATATTACGTAACAGTAAAAAAAAAGCCTTTTTAACCTCGGTTTTAACTAAAATACAAACA